TGAACTAAAAGAACATGTTCACTGAGGATCTTAAAACATGGAAACCCTCTAATAATCACAGATATTTGTTTGTAGTATTTCAATGGACACTTTCACTACAGTTTAGAAGACATTACTAAATGACTAAAACAATTTAATGTCATATACACGTGAATAGTTTCTTTCATCTAACAAATGTATAGTGGCTTATTTCTGCAATCAACTTATTTCAAGTCGGATTATAGCAACACGACTTTTCTCTACAGAAAGATATAATTAGACCATAAGTCGTTTGTTATAATAATAATACAACTTGTAATAATTATCATCAAATTGTTGCGCAATGGTTGTGCAACAACCCAAAGTAATCGGATGCCAAAAATCTGCTACCATATAAATGTTACAGAAAGTATTTAGCAATTAATATCAAGCTTCTCATTAACGTCGACTCGACCATTCAATCACATTCATACATGCATGCAAAGAGTTTCCTTAACCTGTTATTACAGGTGATTCACCGGGATATTCATCCTCGTAGCATATTTACATCTGAACATAATATCACATATTAGCCTTAATATATTTCGTATCTTAAAAGGGATTTCACATATACATACATATGTATAATCTATACATTCCATGCCGCATCAGATATCTCATGTATTTTACAGGATTGTGGCATCCGGCATACTTTACATGCATTTCACCGGGGTTATTATTCAACACATTTTCACCTACATTTCACAGGGGTTATTATTCAACAAATTTTCACCTACATTTCACAGGGGTTATTATTCAACAAATTTTCACCTACATTTCACAGGGGTTATTATTCAACATATTTTCACCTACACTTCACCGGGGCCGATTCAACGTACATTCACATACATTTCACCGGGGTTATTATTCAACATATTTTCACCTACATTTCACCGGGGTTATCATTCAACATACTTTTACATTCATTTCACCGGGGCTATTGTTCAACATATTTTCACCTACATTTCACCGGGGCTATTAATCACCATGCTTTCACCTACATTTCACCGGGGTTATCATTCAACATACTTTTACATTCATTTCACCGGGATTATAATTCAATATCTACATCAAACATTGCTAAATGTTTTGTTTTGTAAAACTTAACCTCAAATATTTCATTAGGCTGTACAATTTTGCAACATTCTGCACAATTTACCCTGAGTTGTAACATCTATGCTAACCCTCGCACTCATTTAACTGGTTTGTAACATCCAGTCTAACCTAATTTCTCCCTCATTTCACCGGGTTGAAACATCTAGTCTTACTTTCGTCCTCTCCCTCATTTCACCGGGTTGAAACATCTAGTCTTACTTCCTTCCTCTCCCTCATTTCACCGGGTTGTAACATCTAGTCTAACCTAATTTCTCTCCCTCATTTCACCGGGTTGTAACATCTAGTCTTACTTTCGTCCTCTCCCTCATTTCACCGGGTTGAAACATCTAGACTTACTTCCTTCCTCTCTCTCATTTCACCGGGTTGTAACATCTAGTCTTACTTCCTTCCTCTCCCTCATTTCTCCGAGTTGTAACATCTAGTCTTACTTCCTTCCTCTCCCTCATTTCACCGGGTTGTAACATCTAGTCTTATTTTCGTCCTCTCCCTCATTTCACCGGGTTATGACATATAGTCTTACTTCCTTCCTCTCCCTCATTACACCGGGATGTATCATCTAGACTTACTTCCTTCCTCTCCCTCATTTCACCGGGTTGTAACATCTAGTCTAACCTAATTCCTCTCCCTCATTTCACCGGGTTGTAACATCTAGTCTTACTTCCTTCCTCTCCCTCATTTCACCGGGTTGTAACATCTAGTCTAACCTTATTCCTCTCCCTCATTTCTCCGAGTTGTAACATCTAGTCTTACTTCCTTCCTCTCCCTCATTTCACCGGGTTGTAACATCTAGTCTTATTTTCGTCCTCTCCCTCATTTCATCGGGTTAAGACATCTAGTCTTACTTCCTTACTCTCCTCGTTTCACCGGGTTGTAACATCTAGTCTTACTTCCTTCCTCTCACTCATTTCACCAGGTTGTAACATCTAGTCTTACTTAATTCCTCTCCCTCATTACACCGGGTCGTAACATCTAGTCTTACTTCCTTCCTCTCCCTCATTTCACCGGGTTGTAACATCTAGTCTTACTTAATTACTCTCCCTCATTACACCGGGTCGTAACATCTAGTCTTACTTCCTTCCTCTCCCTCATTTCACCGGGTTATGACATCTAGTCTTACTTCCTTCCTCTCCCTCATTACACCGGGATGTAACATCTACTCTTACTTCCTTCCTCTCCCTCATGACACCGGGATGTAACATCTAGATTTACTTCCTTCCTCTCCCTCATTTCACCGGGTTGTAACATCTAGTCTAACCTAATTCCTCTCCCTCATTTCACCGGGTTGTAACATCTAGTCTTACTTCCTTCCTCTCCCTCATTTCACCGGGTTGTAACATCTAGTCTTACTTCCTTCCTCTCCCTCATTTCACCGGGTTGTAACATCTTATCCTATCTAATTTCTCTCATTCATTTCACCAGGATTTAACATCTAGTCTAACTGAAGCTCACGTTCATTTCTCCGGAATGTAACATTTTGTTTTCTTGAATATACCCAACTCATTTCACCGGGTTTTACAATTCAACCTAACTACATTTAACGCACACCTCACTTTACGTGTATACATATGTATTTCAGTTTTACCGACTTTTCAATCTTGATTTTTATCGGAATGTGTCAAATTATCATACTGAATTCACCCTAATAAATTTCAAGTAGTCTCCTCTTTCACACACCTTAGCTAGGTGGTGGTAGTGATGTCTATCATAGAGTATGATATCTTATTCTTTATCCATAAATCGTAATTTCTACACCTGTTAAACATTTCATTTGTTCATTTTTTCGTACATGCACAACACGCCTGTCTAACTAATCATGTTGCTCCTGTGACAAATCGGAATTATTCATAAGAACACAATTTTGTTTAAGTAGGCCACCGCTACGAGATATTTTCTCCTAATCAACTACGAATGTAACAATTTACAAAAGCATTTTAAAATTTTAAAATCTAAAAAAAAACCAATTAAGGAACTGAACCAAGTTTCAATAAAAGTCTCACTCCACACGTTTTTTGTGACAAACTGAACATCCTTGAATAAGAGTTCTACGTATACTGTATACTTAAAACCTGAATTGAAACAATCTCAAACAATTCTATCTATCAATAGTATTCACTTACTTTTACATCTCACAATAAACACGTCAACATAAGTTTATTTACTCTTCTCACCATTCGCTCTTACATACACATACCGACTATTCCACATATACTTAACGATAAAATGGCACAAATAAAAAGAGAACCGGGTTGATAATTCATCCGTGAATGGAACAAAGCCATTCCCCTGAGATACAACAACGTTTGAAATAACGTTAATGAACTATACAGCCATATCAAGCGATATGATAAGGGACACATGACAATCACATTTAGTATCTTGACAAACATGACAAATTTCCCATACTTTTTTCTGAAGGATTTGAAGGAGTAATTCTGAATTTGATTAAAGATTAAGAGTGAAAAAATTAAATATATTTGATTTGCTTAAACTCTAAATAAATAAACATTAGCTATAACATAATTTGTCGATAGATATTTCAATTTTAGGAGACATTTTCTGAAATCTTTAAAATACTAGACTGTTAATTGTCATATGTCCTTTTCATTAAATCATAATATATGCTACCACTATTTAATTAACAATACAATTTATACACTGTAGCATAAATATTATGCAAAATAAATTTGAAAATAAAACAGCTACTGTTTCAAATGCAAATTAGTTTCAAAATGAAGCAGAGTAAATCTTTCAAAAATGAAAATAATACATTTACATATCGAGTAGTATTTTCATTTTGAATAATTATTGATACAAAATGCGTTTGGCACAAAAATAACAATCACATGTAAATGACGTATGATTATTTGAAAAAATACTAATATATGTATCTACACGTCAATTACGATATTCCTCCACTCATCGATCACACCGTTATATGTTTCCTTCCGTACAAATTCTATCTATCTATACATACAAAGCAGAATAATTATTATCACGACATATGGAGTATTGTCAGCCAGTTTAAGATCCTTTGTTCACAGCCCTATTGCTTAACGACTATGTAATGTTATTGTTATTTTTTCGCATAAAAAGAAGAAATCCAAAAACCGATCATATTTGATGAAGATGCAAAGTGATACTTTAGAATAGTGTTTAAAAAGTGACACATTTCCAATATCGTCTCGAAAATTGTATTTTGGAGTTTGTTACATTATTGTTCCTATTTTGTATACGAGTTGTTAAGACGATAAGGTTCTGGACAGCTGGACCATTATTTACACTAGTTACATTGCTACACGGGTTTGCATAGATAAAAACACGAAAGTCAGCATTATGTACAGTATCACCGGGAAATCATCCACAACTTTACTGGCGGTCTTATTCCGAACCAGTAGCTTTTTCGTTTATTTACCACATATGAAAAAATACTACACATCTAAACGTTCAGTACTTCTCATCAAACATACACTCTTCACCTTGACATGCACTCACAACAACCTTCCTTAGGTCTATATACAGTGTTATATGTTCCTACTGTGATGTTTTGCTCCGTACATGCAATTAAACACAGAAATTATGATTTCAGATACTCATGAATTTGAAGTCAATGTGCATTTTATAAAGCATGATAATAATTTTGCTTTTCTGAAATTTTTTTCGGTGTCTTCAAATTGAAAGGCGTGATAAACCTATGATGTTGATTATGGTACAACTACTGAACTCTAATTGCATACCAGTTCACAGCATTAAATACTTAACATTCCAAAATAAATGAGACCATGTTAAAATATAAAATCAAAGGAAAAATAATTATCTAAAGACAAATGATACACAATAGACATATATTTTTAATATAAGATAGCATTTAAAATTTTGTATATTTTTCAAATAAGATCGAGATTCAAACATTTTATACGAATAAATCAATTTGATATGTGATATCATAAAGATGAATAAAAACGCTCATAAAATTAATCTAAGTATGTCTCATGAAAAAGAGAGAAAGACTGGTATTCCATCCTTCATTCTAAATCCTCCGGTATAAAAGATGAATTTAAGTAGATACATGTGATCTTGTCCCTTCGTATGTTGTCCTTTACATATCTTCGATAATATTTTACATTTGATGAATGTCTGTTTTCTGGTATAAAGTTTGCCTCGTTGGTAAGTCATACTTCAAAATATCTGCAGCCGAACACATCAATCACATATTTTTGGAAGGAGTTAATCATACTCTAACTCGTATGACAAGAGCAGAAATGTTGATGTAAGTGTGGTTAAGAAGCGACATTTTGTCAGCTGAGTGATGTATTTCTGTTCTCGATGGAGCTTTGGCCTTATTCTGTTTTGGGTCATTTTTAGATCTGAAATAACACATCAAATTCGACATCAAATATACCTTATTTTCTCAGTTATTATCATGGCCTTATTGCAAAGTGTAAGCTTCTTAATGTCAAATGCAATTCAATTATGTTTTAGAAAGGTGAGGTTCTTATTGTTTCTAAATGTCAAATGCAATTCAATTATGTTTTAGAAGGGTGGGGTTCTTATTTCAAATTGGTTTAAAATAGAAAAAGATATGTACAAATAATGATTACTACGGCGAAAAAGTACATACACCGATATACTTACTTTCATACATTTAGGCATCTTTTCTGACCAATGACGCAGCTCCTTGTCTTTGCTTTGCCGTCATCTGAGAATAAATTAAATATTGTATAATTAATTCGAAATTGAAACAAGCAAAATGACAGCTAGACATTGATTGGGATTGAAATATTGTTTAATATGCTACGATAAGTAATCTTATCTGCTATAAAGACATCTCCCTCCTAATCCTGATCTCCATAACGACCTTATTATCATTGTTGCTATAACATCCTGTCTCTTTAATTCCGATCACCATAGCGAAAAAATTGTTTCGATGACACAGTGTCTATCTAATCCTTGTCTTAAGAGCTACATTACAACCCTTGGTTATATGATATGTTTCTAATCATGATTACTACAACGACATTATGTTGTTAGTACGACATTTCATCACTAATCCTTATTGTTTTAGCTATCGCTGTTGCTGCGATTCCCCGAGAGTGGGAAAGGGGACAGAGGGTCAGGGATTTTACTTATGAGTTTGCTATCTAAGTTCTATTGTATTTAGCAACCTTGTTTATAACAGATTTCTTGATCATAATACAAGTTCAATCCTTGTCATTGATAGTATATTGATAATATGATTCCTTGAAATGTACATTCAAAATAAGGTGACAGATAAAATATCATTTCCATCGTAATTATGAACTTTGAAATACTATTTCGTTTTTTAACTGCATCCATATAACTTTGTAAACATAATAGATATTGAAATTCACTGTTTTTAGTTCAAATGTAGAAGTAAGTATTGAATAGTTACTTACATCTTAAGAAATCCACTGTGACATATGTACACATTATAAAATCCAAAAGAATATCAATTCGTTATCCAACTTTACACTGACATATGTCCAATGTTAGGTCGACGGCTTCGGTAATATTAGTTAACTCCAAAGTCATCCGCCCATATGTTCATATATACTACCCCTGATGTTATTTATAGAATACAGTTAAACCGAACGCTCTGTGACTTCACCTGACTGTGTATTGGCGTTTTTAGTGTTTATGTACGCATGCGCATTGTGTGCTTGAGGTCACTGACCACATCAGTCGTGGCTTATGTGCCAGCAGCAGCATGCTTATACTTATGTTATTGTTTGTATCTTATAGCAGTCTGCTTTCTACATAGAAGTATAGTATTATATTTTGATATTGTATTGGTTGTGAAAAGAAAGGGTCTGACAACGTTTTGTATTAGCTTACAACTTAATTGTGTTGTAAACACTTCCTAAATTTTCCCTTTCTTTCTTTCTTTCTTTATTTTTAATATTAATTAAACCTCTTAGAAAAAAGACAACTGCAAGAGTGATTTTATGTTCTATGTTTATTTTAATGACAAGACTGGACTTGGTTTCTTTTGAATATAAGTCAACTAAGATTACTTTACAGGTCAGTAACGTGTAGTGTACTGATCGCATCCATACTTAAAGTGTATGTGTATAGAGGGTCACTGACCGATGCGGTCAACACAGACTGTTCCATCCTGGCACTATGTATAACATGTTACTCAGACTTGCCCAAATCATTCTTTATTTTTGTATTATCTTTGTAACAATATGTCAGTATGGTTTCTTCATAGCTTTTTGCTGCATGGATTATTTGAATTGTGTTTTATGTGGAATACATATTTTTCATTCATTTTTCTTTTCTTTTATCTTTTTATTCATGTTTTTATCCTATCAATATATGCCGGTTGTTTAAAAAAAAAACAATCTCTTTTATGTGAAATGGCACCTCAGGTGATTTTATTATCTTTGGTTGTGAACTGAAAATAGTTTATTCACACCGGAAGCGTCATTTTACAAATGGCTACACTGCAAAACAAGTTTAGCGTTTAAAGGAACAAAGGGGTAAAATTGTATATCAAATACTTTTATTAGATGTGTGAGCTTTTTCTTGATGATCTCATCGTTTTTATACCGAAGATTTCTGTCCCTGAAATATTACAATTTTCTGGTTTAATCGTAGGTCTGCTGAGAAAAGAAACAAATCGGTATATGAAATAATCCCATTTTATACAATTTGGAGGGTCTGTTTTATATACGTTTACTTATATTCGATTTCATCATCAGTATAAGATATAACGCGTTTTTATAGGTTTTCGTTTGTTAATCAACTGTTGGCGTGCCATCAAACCCCCAGCACTTATTACTTTCATTGGTAATTAATAGTCAAAGTCATTCACCTCAGCAGGCCTTATTCTGGAGAATTCTTTACCATTCCTAATATATAACAAGCAGTAGTATGCCCATATAAGGTAGTATTTGTATAGATTACATGTGCGAAAAACAAATGAAGAACCATTTGTCTGTTTAACGAATGTTGGGATATCAATACCATAGCTGTGGAGCAGAAGTCATTCACCTATCTACATCTCGACTCTATTGACCGTCCACTGTGGGCTTTAAACTGGGTCAGGCTCTCCTTGGGTCCTTTACGTAGGAGTGAACGGCTGCATTGGTTTGGGGACTATTATCGATCACTTTGAGGTCAGTCACCTGCTTTATACTATGCCACAACGTTGATACTGACAGTGTTACTTCAGGAGTACCGCCATGTTTTATTTCTTTAACAATGTGTTCCAGTTTTTCAGCTGCACAATAAGCATATCATCTAAATGATGTTTATGTAATCGACGCCTTTTTTCATTAACTTAATCTATATCTCTGTATCAAATATTTCTTAATTATTTTGTGTTGATTTAAGTAAACTAATTTTGTAAAATAGTATTATCTGTCATCTTTGTTAGCTGTTAGAAAATAACCTGCTATTTGTCTGCTTATCATTTAATGAAGAAAACGTCTAATCTGTTTGCTATTAATAGTAATGGTACTTTACATGTGTATTGTAGACAGGACGAGCGTGTTCAGGTCATTCACCTTAGTTGGTATAGGCCTAATGGATCACTCACAAAAGACATGTATTCCTGCTGTAGTACACTTTATGCATATTATTTTTTATAACCAGTTATATGCGTTCCGCCCTCCCGTGATTTCTTATATGTTTATGAAGGTCTTCAGAAGTGGGGAGACATTGATTCAGTTTATATACAGGTCACTGACCGCTAGTTCACAAACGTATATATATTATATATGAAGAGGGTTAATGCATTGTCAAGTATTGGTAACGGACGCGTCACTTTCATGATTTCAGTACCCGATATTTTGAAGTGCTGTAGCTAAACGTTAATGATAATGCATTGTTTAGCTCAGCTAAGAATTTCAAAAGATTTGTTCAAAATTAATTTCATATCAAATATTTAATTCCTAATATATTTGGCGATAAAAGAATTACCTATGCTTCATGTATGTCCTACATACCTCTAAAATTGTATATTTTTAAATAAGGAAAGAAACCAATTATTTTTGGAATTAAATATTGGATAATTGGAAGATATACTTTTTCTGCCTCAATATTACGTTGTAACAGAAGAGTGCGATGCATAGAGATGTATATATACTGTATAGTTATATATTATATAGTTATACATTGACTAGTGATATTTTCTCTGGTTATAAATTGTAAATATATACATTGTATTGACTTATGTACAGCATATATATACATTGTAAAGGCATATATTGTATATAAACCTGTATACACATTGTAAGACCTTAGCTATAAATTGTGTAAGTATGTATTGTTCATGTATATATTCTAAAGTTACAAACTGTAAAGGTATGCATTGTATATTCTGATGTACACATTGTATATTTGTTTATATATATATATACATTGCATAGCCATAACTATACATCATATAAGTATATGTTGTACAGGTTTATATTCCAAAGGTATACATTATATTATATAGTTGTCAGTAGTAAAGGTAATCATTGTATTGGAAAATTTAACTGTTATTGATGTTCAAGGCGTTCGTTTTCTAACATATCGTATAAAAATGGCGGATGTTAAGTAGCGTCCGTTTTTTTAGTGACCTTGATTGAGAAGAAGGGAAGTATGTTCTTACTTTTTCAGCTGAACGTCTAGGCGTTATTCACTATGTCAAACATCGCATCTGATCCTTGCTATTTAACAATGAATATATCAAATATCATGTTTGATTGATTTAACCTTAATGAAATATACAATTTGTTGATGGTAAAATACAGGACGTATGTTGTACGGAGAGCATACAACTTGGTCCATGAATTTTCTTTTTCGTCTAAATTAGAAAGATCATGTATTTGGTCATATTTTGGTGGGTTTAGTAACACGATCGTTAAGAAATAATAAAATATTTTCATATCCATAACTGAAGTTCAATAGATACGTGCAATTACGTTTCGATAAAAGGATGTATGTAATACTCACCACATTCATATTTCGGGCAATTGAGTTCCATCTCGAGATGTAACACCTCGGCATATCCGGCAGACATGCTGCTCCTCCCCGATGGACTGCCCCTCCCGGCCAATCAGTTGGTAATCTGGCCGGGCACCTTGCTCCAGACTGGTTACTACAAGTTACCTCACTGTCTCATTACACCGTCATCGCTGGCGTCAAACGCTTTTCGCTCAACTCCACACACTTGGTATTTCTACCAACTAAAAGATCACGTAAAATATTTAGGATATATCTAATATAGCATAAAAAAACTCAAAACGCCCCTCACTCGAATGGGTTTCCAATTAGTCTATACCGTAAATGATAACTGCGGGTTATTTAGGAGGAGTCATTTAAGGACGCGAGCTCCTATTGGCCTGCATGTATGTCAGTAGGCAATGTCATGGTGTAACTAGGGCTCATTGACCCATCAAAGTAGAAATTCCGCATAATGTGCTCTACAAAGCAATGTGGTTTACGCGAGAGGGTAATGAACGCTGTGCCTTATTCGGCTGTAGCCCGTGTCAGTGACCGAATCGAATGAAGCTGATTAATTGTACGTGTGTGTAGGTTAGTTGTACTCTGATATACTGATTCAGTCTATGTATCACTTACTTTATGATAATCCGTTTATTTATGTTTTTTAAACATGTATTGGACAAGCCATTTATGTAGTTATATGAAATTACATAAATGTATGTGCAATAGAATTAAAATGTCCTTTTCAAACATGAAATTCATTTTCGTGTATGAAAAATGATTACTTAAACAGTCGGAGCCATTATCCATGATGAAAATTATGTAAAGAAACAAAATCCGATAGTGCAGACAATGAAATCCTCCTACATCGAGTCATTTATTAGTCTTTAACGGGGTACAATTCATGGAAAATAAGAAACGAGGGTTTTCACATAAACATGGAATGATTTATCTTTAGAAAACGAATGAACAAGTTACAGTTTTCAAACTGGATGTGAAAGCAAATAATTTGTGATTTCATTCCGCGGCTATACAAAACTTTCTTTACAAAATACATACCAATCGTTTGAAACGTTGATCAAAATAGACAATTAGGTCTTTATTTTTTATAAAGAAATAACAATCATTCGATTTCTTTACTGTGATTGATTTTAACATTCATAACAATCTTCCCTTATCTAAAGGTCATGCCCAGTTAGCCCTATACTTTGCGGTCGGTCATTGCTGTCCTCACTGGATGTATCACCTTATTTTTTTTCTATTTACCTACACACCTATTACTTTGCCCATCTGACACCTAACACCTATACATTCTGTAGGTATGGTATCAGAATTGTACCTGCAGTCCCCCATTGCACGATTCGTAAGAAACAACTTAATTTGTTATTTTTTTCTCTTCTTTTTAACAAGTTTCTTCTTCCTAATATTCCTTTTTACACTACCTCACTTTTGTAGGCTAAATGTTCCGTCCCCTGGCCAAAGGCAAATCAATTCGTTAAAAATTAAAAGCTGCTACTCCTGCTTAAAGCTCAGTATTTTTCGAGTGGAATGGCAAGTCCGTGTGTTATCAGAAAAAAAGTTGACCGGTTGTGTTGTCCTGCTGGGTGTCTTCGGCAGTTTACTTCAGTGTGGCTGCACTATAAATTCAGTATCTGTTTCGCGCTATCACAAGATAAATACAAACGTACCTGACTCTCACAAAACATACTCACAGGTGTCACACAATTAGCTCGCATACAGGTGAGGTCGTCCTTAAAAGACCATGGTTGTTTATAGGACGCTAAATATTAAAACAAAACAAAACATCTATATATAAACGTATATGTATTTCGTGGCATGTCCATGTAATCAGCACGAATATATTATCGATGCAATCTTCCATGTTATTTAAAGTGGCATTTCTTTTGATAATTATTACAAAACAATCCTAAATAAAGTTACAATCCATTGCTTACATAACCAGAGAAGTCTTACTCAAAATTTCATTAAAATTGAAATGTATGAATAGCAGAAAATATTTTACATGAGCCATTGAAATGGTATTTTTAGAATAAGGCATGGTGGTTTGGAAGTACATGCGTCCTCTACTTAATTGACGATGCCGGGCATGTCAATCAAATTCAATCCTAGAAATATCACATTATCCAAATTCACAAAGTACTCATGGTAAGGAGCATGGAACACCTCGAACTATTTTACATGGCGGGTGTCGTCCATAAAGCAGAGGACCTTTATCCTTCCCGTAAACATGGTCTTATTTACTTTGTACTTTTCCATGAGTCTTCCTTTAATACTTTTGGCCTTGTTTTGCCCAGGTTTTGTTGACTTTGAGTTTTGGTTATGATTCTGTTCACATGTTGGTATTTTTTTGTTGATATTACAAATTACCTTATCACAAACATAACACTATCACTGAGCCTTCATCTTCACTTCTCACCTTCGACATCTGTTACAGAAATCGCCATTATGAGGGCAAAATCCAGCATATGACTTTTATTGTAACATTAGAAATAATATTATGGGTTGAGGAAGGAGGATTGCTACCATCTAGTTATTAAAAAGTTCTTTATAAAGAAAATGAAACCATTAAAGAGTGTTATAAATCAATTAATTTTCACTCTAATTTACGTTAATTAGGTTTCATTTATCCCATATCCTAAAACATATGAGTGTACTTCTCGTTCACACAACTAGGAAAAAATACTTTTTGACAGATTTTGAAATTTAAAATTTGGAGGATGCGGGTATTTTGTTGTGTAATTTTGAATTTATGATGTTACGTGATTGTTCATAGTTATGACAACACAATCGATTTTTACTGTCACAGCCAATGAAAAAAAATTCCAAGTATATAACACTAGTGACATAATCATGAAAATATTTGACGAACTTGTTTGAAAATAGGCTGATTATATGATAAATGGTAGTTTAAAATAACTTTTCCATATCTGTGTTATGTATCACTAATTAGTGTTGGCATATGTTGCTTTTGACAATTGATGATAATAAAATAGTAATTTAAATGGGTTTTGTGTCGTAGTTGTACACTTTTAATCAATAACAAAATATAAATAGAACATATCGTCGTAAAATCAATTTGTATATCATCTTTATATGAGTCAGAATTTTTATGACGTTCTGTAGACTTTATGTATCTGATTGAAGTCTGTGACGTCGAAACCGATAACAATGAAAGCCAATATATCGTCAGAATCATCCGGAATATACCTCACTCACTTTTATTAGTCGCTTAAAGAGCTATTCTGTCTGCTTGCAAAATTTGCGACTGTTCCGTACCTTTTAAGAATTCATTCTAATGACTTTTTAAACCATTGTTATCTCCTGTGGTCAGTTTGGAAAGGCGAATTTGGTGTTAAAACTTCCAGTTACTTTTGTATTATAGATTTAAACATCTAAATATAACACATTAGCATCTTAAGAAATCTGAACTTGTGCGGAATACTCTTTAAATGTTATCCTGATGTGTCCCATAACGATAGATGTTTCATTATCATAATTCATTTCATACTGCTATTATCAGGGACTTTCATTGTAGATACTTTTATCAAATCTACTATGTGTTTATTTCAAGTCAATAGACGGAACTATAAGTTACCATATCTTTTATTCTGGAAGTCCTATAAAGACCAAACGGCTGTATGGTGTAGCATTATTCATTATTGTCAGTCGTGTCTATCCTTTAATAGGTGTTGAAAACCAGATAATTATTTTACATTGTAGTCGAGAGCGTGACATTTGCACATGATTTACACGTTAATTGTTCTATATATGCGCCTTCGGGTTTAAACTTGATGTTGATATAAAAATTCAGTTAGGTTTGTAAAACGCATATTGACTGAGGCATAGTTATTTACATATATTTCACCCATGCATGACTACCTCCACATCCCAGTATTAATAAAAACAAAACACAAATGCCACAATATTAGTTTATTAAGAAATGATGAAGTGACATTGAAAACTCATCGAAAGCTACTTTGTATTTTATCATGATTCAGTTGCGAATGCTAAGGATATTTAATATCATAGAATGAAAAAAACTATAAATTTAGCACCTCAAAACGCTTAAATATCCAATGGAATATAAACAGATGTAGGAAAGGGGAAATTTGCGGCAAATCAAAATATCATAAGATTTCATAAAATAATCAAGGTCTGTTACATTTTTTTCATGATGTATCATAAATGATTTAAAGGGATATCTGATAACGAAAATTGTTTAAAAATATATGAAATGTTATCAATCTTTTTCATAAGATGCCTTATGTAATATTTAGATAACTTTAAAACGATCTAAGAGTACAGTACTCGAGATATATCGTTGGTGAGATAATTAACAAATATGATATACATTGTATTCTGTATTGAAATGTTATAAATAGGATCTCGAATGAGTTCTCATTTCATATACGAGATTTTATGAATCGAGTTTTCGATTTAAAAAAATAGCCCAAGCGTACTTTTTATCTCTTAACATAGAAAACTTATATTTTGACAGGTTTTAAAGTCATAATTTGAAAGACATGATAAAAAGGAGTCAATCATTTGTTGCACCATATTCAATTGATGACATAATATCATTGTCTATATTACGACATCACAACAGCCAATGAAAAATTCTCCCATGTACATTACACTAGTGACAAAGGCAAAAATGCAACATGGGAGAATTCACCGGATAACAGGTTACTGGTGTGATAAATTGCATCAGATATCTCATAGACAAACATGTGTAAGATATGTGTGTCTATTTAAATATAAAAGTATTTAATCAGCATTACCCCATTACTAATTTGCGAGCTTGGAGAGACTGTGCAATTTCAACACAACAACAGAGTTATGAGATTGAAAGCATGGACGTGAATTATATTAAACGGAAGTTGGTACCTAATTAGTAAACCGTACAGAAAATTAAAGACCTGGTTAGCATATTTCAGATATTTTGAGATAAGATATGAATTTTCAAAAATGATAAACTACGATAAAATTCTATGAAAAGTTTCTAAATAATGAAAAAAAAACATTATCCTTTTTTATTTGACAAGCGAGATTTTTTATGCATGTAATAAGCACTAGTGCGTAATAGACAGTTAAAATATAGACATATTTCGCTTTTTTCCCAGAGTAATTGGTGGTGTTAACCTATGTGATCCGTATTATATTGGATAACTTAAGTGATTGTTTTTCCATAAAAAGTGCCTCTCCCGTAACATGAAATCCGGGATCCATTCTATCCTCAGGAACACCGTGGACCTATGGACTTAGTTCTCAGTCCGCGGGAACACATTAAATAAAACGCATGAAGCGTTTTCTACAATGCGGATGAATTAAAGTCTACGGAGTTATCTCTCGTTTTCGAAATCAAGAGATGTTTTTGATGTATGATACACATTTAAATAAATAAATAAAGATAAAATGTATTTTCTTCAATGATTTAGATTCATGATATCAACAAAAGGTCGATGACAGCAGCTGTGGTTTCGGGAACTGGGTTTCATTTATTCATGAAAAAGGCTTATTAATGTCCGATCTCCAACGGAGTAATTAAAGGGAGATAATACTGTGAACGTAGGATACCAAGATATAAATCTAAAACATCGGTTTTGCATATCGGATACCGAACATACCGAATATGATGTGTACCTCTGCCTACTGTAAGACAAATACATCATATGTATTCGTGTGAATCATATAGCATATAAAAAATTACATTGTTTTCAATAAATTTCAATTAATTTTAAGGTGTTGTTATCATTATAAAATCCAACATTACCGCATCGCATACCGCCAAATCTTGTTACAGTGTAAGTCACAAGGTATATAATAGATACGATGAGATCCGAGAAAACAGGGTGATATCAGGGTCCAAGAATGTCAACAACGCAAGTAGGAAATTCTTTACCTCCGCTGTTTTATTGGTGAAACTTTCCTTTCTTCGTAGTTAAAATATATCTTAACATTCAACCGTTTCACTACCCAAATACAACTCCATTTTTTTCATTCTTAAATGAGTTTGGCTTCATGCAAAGTGAACCTGCCTACCCTTGGGAATTTTCCTTCTCATCGAAGGCACAGGTAAAAGGCCCGATGGAACTCGAACGGCGGAAACAGGAAGCTAACAGGTGCGAAAATCGACTCGTCCAACGGAACAAACAGGTAGACATAACAAAATGGCTATGGTAAAGGGGAGAAGAGATTGGGGAGACGATTCGAATGTAGGAGGATCCGTGGTAACTGAAGCTACCACGACTGCATCAGAGAGGAGACGAATTCGAGAAGCAGGGTTAGGCTATGTATACTGGTTCTCCTATGTCTGTGCTATCGCGTCCCTGCTTCTGGTCTTCATCGCGTTCGCCTCACCGTATTGGTTCAAATCCTGGGGACGGGTTCACAGCCCGCTTGCTAATGTAGGCATGTGGCAGATTTGTTTATCAGGATGGGTGAAACCAAGGGATCCTAACCTGAGATCCTACGTGGGATGCTGGTGGATACACTCCACTTTCTTTGAGGAGGTTTTTGACGATATTATGCCCCGTAAGTATAACACCTGTACAGGTGTAAATAATAGGTACACACCTGAGATCAAATGTAGGTCACTCATGAATCATCCGTTATATTCTTTTATACCTCCTTCCTCAAAATAATTTCCCGTTTTATCGGTACTAGCAGTGATTTTCGCGGTTAATCTCCGTAATTAATTAAAATAAAACGTTAAGTAAATTTCAATGATAAATCCACAATGAGTCATTTGTCGTGATGCCAAGGGACATAACTATTGTTTAGATATTGTGTTGTACATTGTGTAGATTTATTAACTTACTGCATATACACTATTATCACAGACTTATGAAGTATATGTCAAAGTCCTTGTTTTTATAGCTGTTTTGCTCTTTTGTTAGACGAGAGATTACCAAACATAATTGTGTTTTCCTATCTTTTTTTTCAAGAGTGCAATGTATGACACAATATTAGTATCAGGTTATTTCATAAGGTTTTGAAGGAACAGTATAAGAGTAATTTTAAAAATAAAGCAAGTTTATAAAATCTGTTAAAGAGATATATGCATTTGCTTATCCTTGCTAATGATGGGCCAACAACATTAATTAACTAATTAAATTCATTCCATAACAAAAATTAATTAAATAATTTTTATAGAATTTTAACAAGGGAGTCCAGAAATGTTTTGAGTCCCATAATTCATTTCTTCAAAATTTGAGTGAGTCCCAGACAGGAAACATGAGCTCCAGATTAAAATATGTGAGTCTGAAATATTACTGAAAATACTGGTAAATGAAAAATACATGAATGAGTTATTAGCAAAAACGATCTGATGAACATTTCCCTGTACAGTAAAAATTGTTAAATACTCTCCGAGAACATTCTGAAGTAAGGAATATCTTAAAACCCTGAGAAGAACATTTCTAAAACTTACTGGGGGAAAATTCTCTGAATGTGAGATTGATGATCTGTTAAAAATTATTATGTTAATATAAACCAAATTAACACATTCATATATCAACATTTGATATTGCAATTCCAATGAGTTGTATTGTGCAGTGAGGCCATATATACGATGGCACTGTCAGTAGCGATCAGCCGTTGAAACCTTGGGTGAACTCCAAGGTGTGTTCATTGGTAATGCTTAAATGTGGCAGTTTATATTTCTTTGGAAGCTGAGATATTATGCAGTTAGACTGTCTTGTACTGTCCTACCTTGGGAAAGATATGTTAATCTGATGACAGGGGACGAGCCTCCTGCATCATGTTTAGTGAGGTATCCGCCAGCTACTACCAAGAAACCCCGCTTAAAAATGACATTGCTTGGCCTGTAGACCTAAATCTTAGCAAACAAGTGTTGTGCTGTATAATGATAAAATTGAAGGTATTGTTGTATTTTCATATTAGTAATGTTTTTGTTTTGTCACCAGCATGGTTCCGTGCTGTCCAGGCTCTGGTCATCTTCACACTGCTATGCTGCATGGCTGTTGTCTTCCTCCTGAGTTTCTACATGTGCGGGTCTTTAAGGATGAAATACTATGAACCACGAAAACTCAAGATGTTTTCAATCATTGCTGTTCTTTTCTTTGCTTCAGGTAAATTAATATACACATGCTAAATGTTATTTTTTTCTGTATCTGAACATTTTATTAGCACAAACATATTATCGCGTCTTTATAGATGATTCCAGCATAGCAAACAGCTTTATGATCAGATGGGTAGGTTTAATAATGATATTGATAGGTATCCTAGGCTTTCTTTGATTGTTTTATCACAAAATCTTTCCTAACAGTACCAAAAATTCTTAGCCCCTACTGATTGTTATCTGTGACGTCATAATTGTCAAGTTAGTCATATGACCAGTATAGTTAGCTTCTTAATTTCATTCTATGAACATCACTTTTTCAAGTGTTTAACATTTGCAGCGAATTTTGTATGATTTTTCCAGATGAGTTCAGAACTTATTTTCCAACATTTTGATGAACCTGATTACTTAGAGCTATAATTAGTTCTCAAAAGTTGATGGATTCCCACAGGAAAAGAACCAAGACTCAATTATCTTAGTTTTAAAAATCACTACACTTGAATAGTTGAAAAAAATCAAATGTGTGGATGAAAGATTTATTCAGAATGCATTGTAAAAAGTCTTTTTTTAAAAAATGAAATTTTCAATTTTCATTCTTACAGTAAAAGATAATTATATAGCAGTCTTTTTTGTAGGATTTTTTAATGAGAGTCCAAAACACCAATTCCCACATTTTCCTAATACTATGAAGTGTAGTAGGTTCTCAAAATTTGAGTGAGTTTCAGTAAATGTATGAGTCATGGACTCAAATATCTGAGTCCACAATATGGCTGATACATGGTACTATATTAAATATATATAATTGAAAGGTAGAGATATATAGATACTTTGTGCCATTAATATATTGCATATTTCAATTTTGCTTTTCTAGGAGTTCTTGTGCTTATCTGCTCCTTTGTGTTCGCCATGAAAGCTAAAGATCCAAACTGGATGCCAAGACCATGGTTGAGCTACTTTTCCTTTTCGTTTGGATTTTATGTCCTATCTGGGTTTTTCTCAGCATTTGGTGGGCTTGCATCATTCATTAAATCTACAGACATTCGAAAAAAGAAGAAGAGAGGTGTGACCAGAGTCCATGACAAGCACCGCCCCCCACCCCCTCCAGCTGTCAGTCAACTTGGAAGCACTACCACTGGGAAGGCTGAATCTTTTGTTTAATTGATGCATTTTTCTTTTATCGGCATCACACCAGTTTCACAGTAATTTCATTATTATCATATGCTTAGTCTTTAATGAAATACTACTGCAAATATTGGTTACTTTTCTGATGGAGTTTTGATTTAATCTATTGCCTATTAACACAAATGTGTAGATGTGTCTAGACAAGAAAACAATGCTAAAAATTGTACCATTGTTAAGGTTTTCTGATTTCACTAGATAGATCATTTTTTTATTTCAATATTTAACTTAAACTATCTTACATCTGAAACTTTGACTATCCAAAGATTATGCTATGTAGAATAAATATCTAATATATACAACAATCTTTTAATAAAATTTCCAGGGCCAATCTTGCAGAGATATTGTCCAAGTATAGGCCAGGTATGTTTTTAATCCATTGTTCAGGCGGTGATTTTTAAATGCGATGCAGTGTCTATGTGTTTGTATTTGTGCTGAAACATTTTTGTTGCAAATTAAACCTATTTTCCAAAAAATAATAACTGGTAAGGACGTTGTAACAATATAGACCAGTTAGAAAACTTATCAACTTATGGCAAACACATTCTAAAAATAAAATCACAATCACAAGATCTCCAGTTGAAGAAATTCTCCAAGAAGCAATTTCCTGCCAAATTTTGTGGTTCATAAACTAGATTTCGGGATTATATCTAGGGCTAGGCAGTTCCCAAACAGGATATTCTGCTACTTAGATTACAGCTGGTCTCTAACATCTTTCAGCATTTAGCAGGCCATCACGCAATTATCAGTGAGAGTGGAGGCCACATGTTTACCACAATAGAATGTAAGGTCATCAGTAAGTTACTAACAACAAATGTGGAAACTGTCTGAAACCACCAAGGATGAAAGTAGAATGCTATTTGGAAACCTGTCCTCAGGAGTTGATCCTCTTCTCATTTGATAGATTTTTACAAAGTTTCCTAATAATTTCAAACATTTTTCGCAATTTTTCACAATGTTTTGTTGTAATGTATTGTATCTATCAAAGGGAGGTAATCGGAACAAGACCAAAACTGTACAAAATAGATTTATATTTGTTAAAGTTAAAAAGATGCCATTTTAGTATGAAATATATGTAGCTCTTATGTATAACGCAAAATAATGTATTGAAATTTCATATATGTAATCCTGAGTGGATTCATGTCCTTTTAATTGTATATATTCAGAAATGTCAATAAATTCATCTTAGCATTGTGCATATCATCTCTTCAACCTCATTATTTTAGCTTTGTATAGAATGTTTAGAACAGAATCACAAGACTGTGTAAATAAGTACATGTATATATTTCATGTATATAAGTATCATTGGATTATTTTTCATTTTATCTAATTTTACATTCCATGTTTTTTATCAATGACTATTCCATGCATTCCATCTAATCTTGGATTTCTATCAGATGACCTTAAATAAATATACCATTTATGAAATTTCTTAGTCTTCCAGACTATTGCACAACTTCTGCTAAAGAAAAATCTCCAAGTTGTTACACACAGTTTAGAAAATGATTTCAGGATCATATTAATGATGAGACTAAAACTTTTTGGAAAATGTATGCTGTACATTGAATTGAATTATATGTATAAAGTATCTTGTCAATTTGTGCAACAAAGATATTTTTAATTTCTTTTAAGAGAGCAATTCAAATTTGCTCTATTTCCAATTTCATCTCTCTAAAAAATGAAGGCTATATATTTGTACTTGGACAATGCATACTGCATACTTTCTAAAAAATTTTATTTGTACTTTTACAAAATAGTAAATGCTGATATCAAACTTTGGAACGAAAATTTTCCTTGTTTCAATTGTGTAAGATGACTTATGTCCTAAACACTGATTATGTTTACCGTAAATTTGATATCCAGAGTTTTTGTTTTTTTCAATCCACTTAACATGTACTGGTGTGAAATGATTGTTTTAAATACGTAATACACAGAATTACTGTAATATTCTACTTTGATTTTAAAACTTAGGAAAAATTCCAGACTGTAAGTAATAGTTTCAAACTGACAGATTTTTATATTGTGTCATTCACTCCTACCCTGTTTTTTCATAATTTTGATAAATATTAAATTTTGCAAGATCACTATAACCAGTATGTGTGTGACTAAGTTCAATCAATATATTGACACAAGCTTTCTTGATAAAATACTTCTGTTTACTTGAATCCCTAAACACAATGGATATGTCTCTGACACAGGACAAAATCTATGACATACAGGAGATATTCTCAAAATGTCAATGTATATTTGATAATTGCAGAAATGATCATATCAGTAGTTTGTAGCTGTGAGTGGACATTATTACTGCGGATAATAAACAGAGTTATTGCTCCTTGTCTGGAGGTATTTCATTGATAATAACATATTTTACTGGATAAGATAACAAGTTTGATGTCTACAAGAAGCAAAGATGTTTAATTTAATGCAATACAGTTAATGAATATCCAGAAACAGATTTCAGGGTGACCAAAGTTCAATGCTTATGATGTCCACTCAAGCTTAACATCATTTTACATATCAAAGAAAATTGAAAATGATTTTACATTATACAGAAACAACTGTATCAATAACTAATGATTTGTGTGACAGTGATTGTCTGGTATAAGTGTATATTATTGTATAAAGTTATCAGTTATTTTTAATAGATAATAATTTTTATACGAACTTAAATAAAATTAATCAAAGAATCATAATTTGTTTTGCAGTTTTTGTTTTACTTAACTTTATTTCACGAAACTAGTATTCAAAACTTCTTTGACGTTAGTTTCAGTTAATTATTTTCAACAAACAAAAGCAGGTGAGCAATACAGGGCCTACAGGTCTCTTGTCAATACAGTATTGAAAACCATCATTTTGAGATGCATTACTTAAAATTTGTCAGCAAATTTTCTCGATTCCACTTTAGTTAAGCTGACCATATGTCACAACTTGCGGAAATGAAAACATGTTTTGATGGAACTTGATACACAGTCCTATATGGATAAGATCTGATGAGTTTGACAATGGAATCAATCCAATTGTAATATAGAGAGTTATGGCCCTTGATAATTTTACTACCATTGTACATTGTGAATATGGTAACTAGAATGAATATGATGAGATTTTAATGAATCTTGGTGTACAGTCCTACATCAATTGCAACAAAAATATCTCATAAGTTCAACAATAGGACCTATGTGATCATAATTTACAGAGTTATTGCCCTTCACATTTTTTACCACTGGATCTTATGAACACAATAACCTGAGTAAATAAAGGATTTTGATGAGATTGTATGCAGTCTTTTTAAAACAAGGTCTCATATGAGTTATTGCATTGTGTGATCTTCATCTGGCACTAAATTTCAAAGCCTACCACAAACTTGACAATTTTCTAGGATGGACTGCAGTAGTAATATTCCTGCTCTATTTCTGATCTGTATCATTTTTCTTAACTCATTTCTTATATTATTGGCTTATGAACCTTAGTAAATATATTGCCTTTCAGATGGAGGTAGTGCTAGTTAGTATATACAGTGATATCTTAAATGACACCTGCTACATGTACAAGATCTCCATTAAAGAGAATCAAATTGCCATATATAGTTCTGTCTTTTAGTCAACATAGACTACTGCCAGGGTTGGGATCCTGGATTCAGCATCTGTACAAATATGTCCTCATGCAAGAGGTCTCTCATTCACCTCAGTAAAGACATTCATTCATTCATCCATCAGATCTTTCTTTAACTAGTTTGTCTTTCACTCCTCCCTTCATTCATTTATTCATGTTATTCATCAGTTTATTCATCAGATCTCTGTAATTAGTATGCCATTCATTCTGTAATTAGTATGCCATTCATTCTGTAATTAGTATGCCATTCATTCTGTAATTAGTATGCCATTCATTCAGTAATTAGTATGCCATTCATTCTGTAATTAGTATGCCATTCATTCTGTAATTAGTATGCCATTCATTCTGTAATTAGTATGCCATTCATTCTGTAATTAGTATGCCATTCATTCTGTAATTAGTATGCCATTCATTCAGTAATTAGTATGTCATTCATTCTGTAATTAGTATGCCATTCATTCTGTAATTAGTATGTCATTCATTCTGTAATTAGTATGTCATTCATTCTGTAATTAGTATGCCATTCATTCTGTAATTAGTATGCCATTCTGTAGTATGTCATTCATTCTGTAATTAGTATGCCATTCATTCTGTAATTAGTATGCCATTCATTCTGTAATTAGTATGCCATTCTGTAATTAGTATGCCATTCATTCTGTAATTAGTATGCCATTCTGTAATTAGTATGCCATTCTGTAATTAGTATGCCATTCATTCTGTAATTAGTATGCCATTCTGTAATTAGTATGCCATTCATTCTGTAATTAGTATGCCATTCTGTAATTAGTATGCCATTCATTCTGTAATTAGTATGCCATTCATTCTGTAATTAGTATGTCATTCTGTAATTAGTATGCCATTCATTCTGTAATTAGTATGCCATTCATTCTGTAATTAGTATGCCATTCATTCTGTAATTCATTCATTCTGTAATTCATTCATTCATTCTGTAATTCATTCATTCATTCATTCTGTAATTCATTCATTCATTCTATAATTCATTCATTGATTCTGAAATCCATTCATTCATTCTGTAATTCATTAATTCATTCATTTTCATTCATTCATTCATTCTGTAATTCATACATTCTTTCTATAATTCATTCATTCATTCTATAATTTATTCATTCATTCTGTAATTCATTCATTCATTCTGTAATTCATTCATTCATTCTGTAATTCATTCATTTATTCTGTAATTCATTCATTCATTCTGCAATTCATACATTCTTTCTATAATTCATTCATTCATTCTATAATTCATTCATTCATTCTGTAATTCATTCATTCATTCTCTAATTCATACATTCTTTCGTAACTCATTCATTCATTCTGTAATTAATTCATTCATTCTATAATTCATTCATTCTGTATTTCATTCATTCATTCTGTAATTCATTCATTCATTCTATAATCCATTCATTCATTCTGTCATTCATTCATTCTGTAATTCATTCATTCATTCTATAATTCATTCATTTATTCTGTAATTCATTCATTCATTCTATAATTCATTCATTCTATAATTCATTCATTCATTCTATAATTCATTCATTCATTCTGTAATTCATTCATTCATTCTATAATTCATTCATTCATTCTGTAATTCATTCATTCATTCTATAATTCATTCATTCATTCTATAATTCATTCATTCATTCTGTAATTCATTCATTCATTCTACAATTCATTCATTCATTCTGTAATTCATTCATTCATTCTATAATTCATTCATTCATTCTGTAATTCATTCATTCATTCTATAATTCATTCATTCATTCTGTAATTCATGCATTCATTCTATAATTCATTCATTCATTCTGTAATTCATTCATTCATTCTGTAATTCATTCATTCATTCTGTAATTCATTCATTCATTCTGTAATTCATTCATTCATTCTATAATTCATTCATTCATTCTGTAATTCATTCATTCATTCTGTAATTCATTCATTCATTCTATAATTCATTCATTCATTCTGTAATTCATTCATTCATTCTATAATTCATTCATTCATTCTGTAATTCATTCATTCATTCTATAATTCATTCATTCATTCTGTATTTCATTCATTCATTCTATAATTCATTCATTCATTCTGTAATTCATTCTATAATTCATTCATTCATTCTGTAATTAATTCATTCATTCTGTAATTAATTCATTCATTCTGTAATTCATTCATTCATTCTATAATTCATTCATTCATTCTGTAATTCATTCTATAATTCATTCATTCATTCTGTAATTAATTCATTCATTCTATAATTCATTCATTCATTCTGTAATTCATTCATTAATTCTATAATTCATTCATTCATTCTGTATTTCATTCATTCATTCTGTAATTCATTCATTCATTCTGTAATTCATTCATTCATTCTATAATTCATTCATTCATTCTGTATTTCATTCATTCATTCTGTAATTCATTCATTCATTCTATAATTCATTCATTCATTCTATAATTCATTCATTCATTCTGTAATTAATTCATTCATTCTGTAATTCATT